TCAATATTGGTAATTTAATTTATATAATAATATTTTTTACAACAATTATTAAAAAATAAAAATAGTATTTGTCTTTACGTAGATAAAGAAAAATACGAAACATTAGCAAAAGTCGAGCATCTTTTTAAACTTCAACTTTTGGATCTTCAAGAAAATGAAATTTATATTGATAATATATATTGGCCAATCGAGCTTTTTTTTTCTAGTGATTGGAAATTTATGTATAATATAATGGAATTAAATGCACTGAATTCGAGATATTTCTGCTTATACTGTAATTGTGAATCTAATATATGCTGGAATATGGATATAAAGTGGCCAATTAATAAAAATATGCTATGTAAGCTTTAAAATAACTTACTATATTTTTGCAAAATAATGCACAGGGGTGTAATTTCAAATTTGATTAAAATTTAAAATAACACCTCTGCATATCATTCTACGAAAATATAGTAATAAAGTATTATTAATTTTTAATATTTAAATTTTTTATTTATAGCTAAAAAAAAGCCTGAATTATTTCCTGCTATTAAATAAGAAAATTATGTATCAGACGAATTACATTTATTATTATGAATTTCAAATGTATTAATGGATTGTTTTTTCAATGACTTAATAAAAAAAAAAGAATTTGAATGATCGATTAAAACTCAAATTGAACAAGCTATGAAATCAATCAAGATACATTTTGAGTTTTTTAAATCTAATGGAAAATGGGATTGGACTTCGCTAATGGGTCCCGATAAGGAAAAACTTTTACAATTTTTTCCAGTTACTAATTTTATCTTGGGAAAACGTGGCAAGGATATTCAAAAACTTTGACATAGTTTTTATAGCTTATATACAGTAATAAGAAAACCAACTCTTACAAATAATGAAATTAATAATTTTGAAATCAAAGTAAAAGAATGGATTTATTTGTTTTGTTGACCAACTCAAGGCCAAATAAATTCATCATTCCAAATACCAGGCTTATACAGAAAAGAAGATATTACTCCATATATG